AACTTTTTCTGGCGCATAAATATTCTAATTTTTTTTCCAAATGTATTCTTAATTTAGGTTCTCAAATCAACTTTTCATCCAAATGAAAATAACAGCATACGGGAATTAATTTCGTATGAAGGTGAATATTATTTAAAGATCAAGCTGACAACATCGAAAAACTAGCAGATGAAATTAAGAGTAACATAAAGCTAAAAAACCTCCCGGCAACGACCTTATACGCAGAGGCATATTTACGATGACTCCCATATGACCCCAATAGCTTGTTTACAGTGTTGCCAGAATATATTTTTATAATGTACTAGATTTATCTAAAAAAATGTTCCAGATTACGTAAAAATGTACCAGATTTTTCTAATTGTGAAGTGTGGTCATTAAAAAGAAAAAAAAAGATTTATAGGGAAAAAAAAATTACTAGATTTTGCTTCGTGTGTACTAGAGTACCAGATTCTCAGAGAATGTACTAGATCTAGTTCAATTGTATAGACTGGCAACACTGCCCGTGTCTACCAGTTATAATTGCTATTCAACTAAGTACACTTCAATCCCTCATAGGAGCAGCGCGATTAGAGTATACTAAAATAGAGCCTAATGGAAATGGCATCTAATAAACAAGCGGTTTGAAATAGTGGTCCAGCGAATTAGGACCTGTGCGTGAGATGTGCAATCGTGAGATGTCTCGAAAAAATTTGTTACAAACCAAAAACTGAACTTATTTATCTAACCTGTGTGGTCAGCAGGCGGTTAAAAGTTAACCGATTGCTCACGCACAGGATAAGTAAATTAGATAATTTTTGTTTTCTACTTATTTTATGTATAATTTTTTGACAACATAACCCGCGATGGATCCAGGTCGCACAGGTTATGTAAATTGATTGTTTTTTAAAATTATTTTATACATTAACTGCACGAATAATCACGGTCACACATGAGTTATCGTAATTGTGCTAACCGGGAAACCGAAAACTCTCAAATGAAGCATCATCTATATAAAGTGACAGAAATACCCCAAGATCCTCTGATAAAAGAGTATCGCATTTTTATTTACAATTTGCACGTGTCTTTTTATTTCAATTGCGCTTTGTTGTTGCTTAGCAGCGTAAATTTTATTAAGGTGCGTTTACAGGAATACAAGAAGTGAAAAAATTAAGATTACGTTTTACTTTGTCTACAAATACTAGAACAATTTACTATCGTACTTTATAAATAAATTTCCCAGCTGAACATTGGTTTTTAGCGTTTTTATGCCAGTATTCTTTTAGTACTAAAATGTCCCCCTGTACGGCTGCTATGAAGCTTCTTTAAAACACTTCTGCCTTGTGATTTCAGCAGTACCACTTGGCTCTCCCACTCCGACTCTCTCACTTCAAATGCAATAGGCCATCGTGAAGATACAGGGAATTCCAATAAGTCCAGTATATTTTAATAGGTCCACTATATTTAACTATCTTTTGTCAAGTAGGTCACACTTTATTTTTGAGCCATTCTTCAAGTCATTGTCTTTCTTTTATCCCTTTCTGAGGCTTCCAAAGGTGTTTTCTTCGTCGTCACCCTCAGGTTTGGTAGTGGTTGCCCGAGAGTAGCTCCTTCAATCGGTTTATCTCGTTCTTCGAGTCTTTTACAATACCGTCATTGACGTCTAAACAGAGTCGCCAGGAGAAAATATCTGCATTGCTATGGTGACGGTCTCTTCTATGAGCTACTTTCTGGTTATTGTTATAAAGGTGAGGGTGATCTGTTTCTCCAGGACGCATCTGTAATAATTCCTTGTTGGTCTTCTTGTCGGGTTTAGGGAGATTCATATATGTGACCTTCTAGCCTCAGTTTTGCTGCTTCATATTTCTGGGCTGCAATCAGTTTCTACCTCAGCGTCTTGTGGTGTTTTATTTCTACATCTTGTGTAGTCCATTAATGAATGTCTGCATACCGATTTGTTTTCGAAAATCTTTGAGCACTTGCCGTTGGGCCAGATGAATCAATCTTTTGATATCGGCCTAGCATTTTTCTCATTATTTTTCGGACTATGTACCTTTAGCTGGCTTTGGAATATCCGTTTCAAAGCATAATTTATCTCCAAGGCTTGGACCAGAAATTAATAACTGGGTTTGCCTTAAGAAAGTAACTGTAGAACGGTTGCTGCCTATCCTAGCTTTTTCCTGCTGTTTTAAATTCTCTTGGTGTTGCTCTAAATTAGTTTTTAAATTCTGTTGCTGCTACTGCTCTATATTAGTTTTTAAATGCTTTTGTTGTTGCTCTTACTTAGTTTTTAACTTCTCTTGCTGCTGTTCTAAATTAGTTTTTAAAATCTCTTGTTGAGCTAAAAGATCTACTTTTATCTTTAGCTGACCAACCTCTTGCTTAAAAGTTTTCTGGATTTGCAGCAAACTATTTATAATTTCAACGGTTTCTTCTCTACGCTTTTATCTCTTCTCTTCTTCGCTCTTCCTGCGCCTTTTCTTTTTCTCATCTTCTTTCTTCTTCCTTGGTATTTCCTTTTCTTTCTCTTTCTACTTTCTGCGCCTTTCCTTTTCCTCTTCTTCTTTTTTCTTTTTCCTTCTTCCGGCTCCTTTCTTTTTCCTCTTCTCGCCTTTCTTTCTCCCTTTATATCTTCAAAAACCTTGCTGGTGGGTCTGCAGTATCCATATCTGTTTGTTACGTAGTAGATCTAGTATTTACCATGAATAAAATGCTTAGGTTACTTTTTTATATATTCCACCGCTGTCACCACTGTAATACTGGTTTTTAGTAATTCAGTTTATTTTAACTCAAATAATTAAGGCTTTTCAGCCATTTTTTAATGCAAATTTTAAACAGAAAAGCCAAGCTGTTAACTCCGAACCCATAACCCTATAATCCCATAAACACATAATGCAATAACCTCATATTCTTAAAAGAACGCCTTAATTCGCATCCACACAAAAATTTTAGCGGCTCCAAAAACATATAGAAAACATGCTCTGATCAACAGACCCGTAAATTATAGCGTTTTTCAGGTTATGTGGCTATTGACTTATGGGGTTATGAGTTTATGGGGTTATAAGGTTAAGGATTTGGAGTTAGCAGTTTGGCTTTTGTGTTTAAAGTTTGAGTCACAGGCTTACATGCGTTAAAAAGTGCTGAAAGGCCTCAATAATTGGGTTTTTTATGGTTATTGCAAAACCCTGACGTGATATGGTGAAACAGACCTCGGATTAGATCTCAGCGACCCCAAAAACATACAGAAAATACGGTCTGATCCCCAGACCCGAATTTTTTTGTGTGTGGCTGTGTAAACTAATAAAAATACCGTCCAATATATAGGGCAACGTAAAATAATTATCTAACTGTTCAAAAATTTTGTTATATTGCCTAGCAAGGGTCTCACGGGTATCTTCCTCACAAAAATTTAGCAAATCAATACAGATATTAAAAATTGTGAATTTAATATATCTTAGATCATAAATCGAAATCCGAAAAGCAGAAATATCTGAAATAAGTGTTAGAATAATTTGAAAATTCGGGAACAAATCTCAAAAATCCCCCTACGAATAATTAAGACCATTCCCGAATCCCAAAGGTGAAAAAAAAACTACTTGGAGATTCGAAACCAGACATATTTGTTCTCCAGACAAATGCCCATACCATTGCTAAACAGCAATTTTGTATGCTTGGCAAGAGATAAGGTAACACCCTGTGTACCTGCTGACGAGTGAGAACCTTTTGGATTTTTCTAAAATTATTCGGAATTAACCAAAATATTTTTTGAATAATTGAAGCGTAAAACAAAAGTGAAATTGAAGCCTAAAAAAAGTAAAATACAATAAGAAATTGAGAATGGAAAAAGAAATTAATGAAGAAAAGTTCCCTCTACTATGATAATTTAATCGTTTTTAGCAAATAACACGAATCAAAGTTGCCTAACGATTCTATCAAATATTAAACAAAAAATACCCTTCCTTCCATTAATAACTCATTAATATGTTCGACGTTAATATCCATAACATTTCCTTCCTCGGCAGACACGTTTATCGTTTTAATATCCCTAATAAAATTAAACAAACACGTGTTTATTTACCCACAACACTTTAAACACCTAATAAAGCAAAATTTATGCGCTTATAGTAACCACTATATTTTACTTCTACCAGCCATTCAACTTTACAGGGTAATAAATCTTTGGACCGAATAAGTCAGGGTAGAATCTTGCCGCGATACTGAAGTATCTTAAATTTCTTTCCTCTGAATGCTGCTGGGAGGGTTCGCAGATAAGTTTTCAATAGTTTTATACAGTGTGGTCCAAAAGTTTGGAAACATTTTAATACCTAAATAACGCATTTACTTTCTTTAAAAATTTTTAATATGGGTTTATCATATAAGTTTTAATTTTTTCAACATTTCGGCTGCCCTTTGATAAAACACAGTAACTACATTTAGGTAAAATGTTCAGGAAACTAATTTTTATAAAATATCTTGCGATTTCAAATGTGCTTAGCTTTATTTCAAAAATTTTCACGGACGATAGAGGGATGCAACATACATCTGATTTATGATGTATAGACCGATCAGATGCATAAAACTGAAATTAGGTAGGGTTAGTTGGGGTAATGGTAAACGATTTTTATAAAAAAATCTTCGAGGTCTGTTAAAATCTAAACTTAAATGTTTACCAAAGAATTTTTTTAGGTGGAGTTTTTTTGAAGGTTTGTGCATATGTGCTTGGCATAGCAAGAATAAGGTTGTGGAATTTATCGAAATATTAGATGTTTACAATTACCCAAGAAAAAAGAAAAATTATTGAAATTTTGGTACAATTGTAAACATCGTGTTTGTCGTTAATATGAGTCCTGTTTAACATTATAGGGGTATTTGTGAACATAGAACAAATTAGATGAGTTTTCGTTCTTTCAGGACTGTAATTTCGAGTACTGTTTACAATTACCCCAAGGATATTAAAATAAAATACTTGGTAAGAAATTAATTTATTCTACTCGTAAGTACAAAGCTTTAAAAAGGTAATTTCACTAAGATTTTTCGAAAATGTCTACTTTACCAGGAAACGAGTAAATCATTTTACGTCCCACAAATTTTGTAACGGGTTTAGGAAGAATAGCAGTCACATTATCAATTGTAATATAAGATACAATCATCTCGTTGATGTAGAAGTCAGAACAGGTTTCGTCTAATGACTTGAGCCCTATAATGGCAATTTCACCATCATCTTCATCCTTCTTTTGAACTACGCAAACATATTTATATTTATTATTGGAGCGCTTGCCTATTCCAGAGAATTTTGCTAGGATAAATGTGTCTTCCTGCAAATCCTCCCACTTCACTTCTTCATACTCCACAGATTTCAAATCTTTTGAGAAATTTTTATTGATCAGTGGTAAATTTTCGTCGTCTTCCTCAGATTCTTCGAATAAATTTATGTCTTCCTCACTTTCGATATCAGATGGAGTGAATTTTAAGGTTCTCTTTCCCTTTTTTTTGTACCTTTACTTCTGCACTTTTTCATTTTTCGGGGCTTAGCCACATTTCCTTTAGCATTTTTCTTTTCCTCAGCTTCTTTCAGTTTCTTCAAAACTTCAGGAGTGGTTAAGACTTCTCCGTAAGTAGACTGTTTTAAACGTGGAACAACTTTTCTGGGAAGGGCACTGGTTACGTCTGACGCAGTATTACATGCTTCCTGCAACTTTTGAGTAAATAATTGAAGAATGCGGTTCGGAGAATGGTGTTGGGGCAGTTGGGAAACAACTTGTAAAGTTGTTGGCTCCTTCCCTGGAGTCATCTCCGGTGGAGTCATCTTTGGGTATGGTGCAGGAATAGGACCGTTCTGCTCTAGAACGGATGTTCCCGCAGTAGGTTCAACATGTTCATCAGAAGATTGTATCCCCAAGGATACAGATTTAATGCTCTCCTTGTACTTTTTAAATTTTGTGGGATCAGAGAACTCTTTAGAAAACATTGCACAGTTGATGGGAAATATACCAGTATTTTCAAACCCTGATAGGATGTTTGCTGGTGTTATACCATCTCTCCAAACTTCAGCTAACAGCTCCACAAATTTTTGTTTACTTAGCCTACCCGATGATTTGCCCATTTCAGACTTGCCATGGGCTACTAATATTTTATCCCATTTGATTTTTACGGGGCCGAAAACACACTTGTCCAAAGGCTGTATCCTATCAGTCAAGTGACTGGGAAATCGAAAGAGTACTATGTTGTTTTGGATAGCAGCATTTACAATACGGACGCTTACATGACTGCAGTGGCCGTCGAACAGTAGGATAGCTATTTGATTAGGTCGGTTACGCGAAAGTCTGCGAGTTCTTACCTCGGGAATAAACGATGTCACAAACCAATGGTAAAAATGAGCCTCCTCCATCTATCCGTTTTTAGATTCTCCATACAACGTTCCTGGAAATGCTTTTTCGGAGGTCCAACGTGCTTGGACCGCCCCTCCTTTGAACACAATAAATGGAGGGAAATAAGTGCCGTCTGCAGCAATGCAGGCCAATACTGTTGTCGACTCTCTTCCCGAGCCCCCCGAAACTCGAGACAGAGCTTTTCCTTTTTCACCAATCGCTCTTACTCTGGAGGGATCACTACTAAATCCAGACTCGTCTGCATTAAAAACGAAACCGAATTTATTTGGATGGTCGATTGATTTTTCACTCATTAGATCCTTAAGCTTTTGGTAAAAGTCGTAGACAACGAACGGATCTCTGGCGTCCTTGCGAATCCTCTGTAGGTGCTCAGGCTTCTTAAATGACAAAAGTGGATGTCTTTTCATAAATCCCAAATACCAATCATGGGAAGGTAAGTTATTTTTAAAAGGAGTTTTCAAATCCATCAATGTAACATATTCGCCAACTAACGTACACAGCTCCTGCTCGTCAGAAGGCCAACCCATTCTAGCCCGAACAATAAGGCAATTTGCTGTAGTATCTTCTACATCTGCGGGTAAGGCAGGCCGGCACCCTGCTTTCAAAACAGTAATGGGATTTTTTCCACCTTTTATTCTATTGTAAATAACTGCAATAGGAACATTGTAAGCCTGCTGTTCTTGCCTGAATGTTTTACTTTTGGTCTGCACATCATTCACAGCTTTAACCAGATCTGCTTCGGAATATTTGTGACTATCTTTCTTTTTTCTTTAGTAGTTTCTCACCATCGTATTTCTGGAAGAAAAACAAATTGTGTTTACAATTACCCCAAACAATTAAAAGTGTTCACAATTCCCCCAAAAATCCGTTTACTATTACCCCGAGCTTTATATAACATATGAAATAGTCACTTCGTAATTGGTAACCTCAAAATATGCCGACAAGACATTAGTTCGATTATAATCAAAACAAATACATATATTACACAACTTACCTGGATCAATTTCAACTTTTTTTTGCAAAAAAAAGTGATCACTTCAAATTTGCTTGACAACTTTTTACATATCAAGCACGAAAATATTTTTTTTCTGCTAAACCGGTAGCACAAACAATCTGAGTAAATAGTGGAATGCGGATAAAGGTTGCAGTGTCTCTGTCGTTGCTCGGCGCCATTCATAGGCGCCAAATTCAAATGATATTAAACGTGTTTGCAATTGCCCCTGTTTACGTTTACCCCAACTAACCCTACAATAATGTGTTTTTGTGTGGTATATTTACTAATCCCGGTTTTAAAATTATACAGTAACTGCAGTTGCTGTGTTTTTAAATAGGCATGTATTTTCAAAATAAATTTGTTTGAGTGTGGATAGCCTATAGGAAAACACAGTAATTACTTTTGCATGAAAAATTTGGTTAACTGATTTTTTCTAGTTTCACAAATCCCTAATATTTTTTCAAGAAATTTTCAAGGGCGTTAAACACAAGCAAAAGCTATATGTGTTTTTGTGGGGTGAAATTATAACATTTATTTTAAGAAAATAAACAGTAAATACACTAATATCTTAGTTTACATGGGTGAGGTAAGTAGGTAAATGATAACAGAAAAGAAAATAGGATATATATTTTTTATCAAGATTAATAAATAATGTCAAACAGCATGTCTAAATAAAAAAAAACATCAAATTTTCGAGATATCTAAAATATAAAATAAATAAGATCCTACGAACACAAAAAATTTAGTGGGGAAAATATTAAAATAGATATCATGTTCTTCTTTAATATTTTGCTCTGATGTATTTAAATCTAAAGAATCTTTAGACTCTGACAAATTTTTCCAGAAAGCGTGTCTGCTTATTCGCTCCGTGCGTGACAGCAGTGCAAATTAATTTGTGTACTAATGGACGATTTTGACATATACTGACAATACAATTTTTAATAGAATTCGCATTTAAAAAGTATATATGTTAGTTTTAATAAAAATATAGGGATTTGTAAAACAAGGGAAAACATTAATTTATTACTATATATTTTTATCGCTTCAACTAAAAAAGAAGTAGGTATATTCATTAAAAATCAATAAAAAAAAAACACATAGGCAGGCAAAAGTATTTACGAGAAGTGTATAAGAAGTTGCCCAATTTTTTTGAAGAATTAATCTATTCTGTCAAAATAAAAAATACTTTGACCTAATTTCCACTTTGCTACTGAAATTTTTTATAACTTACACTGTTTTTTGGTAGTATCTTTACAATTTACAACAAGGCACCTCCGGTTGCTTATTGTATTATTTTTAGCAATTTTTTTGATACGTCAAAATTACAAAATATCGCATTAAAGTGCTCAAATTACCCGCAGCTTGCGCTTTTGCTTCCCCTACCATAACTGCGCACTGAGCGAATAGACATTAAAGGTACCAAAGTTTTTACAATTGTTTCTTTTTTTTTTTAGTAGCAACTCCTCTAGTAGGTGTAATTGTTCGCAATAGAAAGGTAATTTATTTTTTTTTGCAAGAAGTCCAATTCTGTAAAATTATCTTTAAAATCTCTTTTAAATTTCATGTTCCGATTTCCTTTTGTAAAAGACACTAGTGGACACTTTTGGAGGGTATCCTTTTTTTTCCAGGAACAGAATTCTTGAAGACAGGACTTCCAGATTTTTTCTACATTCCTTAATTACTTGAGTTTTATGTTTCGAATGCCTTTTGTAAAAGACGCTTCTTCTAGTGAATTTAATAAAAAAACTTCTCAAATTTTCTTCCATTTCAAGTTTTTTGAAGGGTGTCCTTTTTTTCCAGGAACAGAATTCTTGAAGACAGGACTTCCAGATTTTATCTATATTCCTTAATTACTTTTACTAAATCATTATAGTTATAAATATTACGTTTTCTACCCATCTTTTTTTCAATATTACCATGACCGCCATGAGCACATGTGTGTGGTCTTTAGTTAGGTATCGAATAGGGTAACCAGATCAGGTTCTAAAGGTCGACTTACTACATTGACCAGAGTAGAATATAATATCTAGTTCTTATTTCAGCCACAGCCATAACAATTGTCGGCCCAATATATAAACTCTTTCACATTTCACATTTCAGTTACTAAGCTGAGAATAGAATCAAGTTATTCTGCCTTTCTACCAACTGTGGCGGACGCAGTAACTTTTATTTTGGCTTTTCGCGTCAAACGTAGCAAAAACCATATTAAAGGGAGGATGGGTTGCTCCACAGCACTTACTTCTCATTAGATTCATTGAGTATCCACCAACTCGTCAAAAACTTGCTGGTTGCAGCTAGAAGGTGACTTAGTTCATCAAAGTCCTGCAGGTTCTCAGCTCGTCAAAAACTTGCTGGTTGTCGTTCAGGGGTGTCTACGAGACTGCCATCTTCTCGTCAAAAACCTGCTGGTTTTCACTGAGGGGTATCTATGAGACTGCCATCTTCTCGTCAAAAACCTGCTGATTTTCGCCGAGGGGTGTTTACGAGACTGCCAGCCCCTCAGGTCAAGGTCCAGCAGGTTAACAACTTCGTCAAGAGGTGTCTCCCGATGCCCAGTTTTGAGAAGTGGGCTTCTACCACCCCGACGGTAAATGCGTGGGTGAAGGTATTCTGTCAGCTCGCTTTACAGGTCAACATATTAAAGGTAACTAGCCTAGTAATAAAAAAAGCTGCTTTTCTGAAGATCTTTTGATAATGTTTGTTTTTTTGTTGTCTTAGTAGATGCACTTTCTTCTGCGTCTTGCTTATACCTTTCATTAGCCTTTTTTGTTCTTTCTCGGTGTAGTCTAAGCTCTGGGTTAGCATCAAAATTGTTCTTCATTAATTGACATTCCTCGCAGGAAACTGACTTTGGCATACACACTGAAATATTTATTTGAAGGATTGTCTATAGTTTTCTATTTTGGAAATATTAGGAAATGTACTGTTAAAATAGTCGTACATTTCTTTTACTGTCAATTCTTTTGACAAATATCTAACGTTGGGAGCGTGTTTTTTTCGGTAATGACTAATAATAATGGATGATAAGACTCTATGTTTCGCTTAATAAGATTTGTATCTACTTTTCTTTTTGGATGAATACCTCTATTATCCTTAATGAGAGTCGTTGACAAAGTAAAATATAGCAACCACTGGAGTATGGACCAGCAGGGGAGCAGCGTCCTATTAAAACTGGCACGAGGGTAGGCAGAGGTGAGCAGCACTTTGAGAGACCTCCAGAACCTGAAGTCTCAACAAGAAGATGCACCGCAATAATCATCTTAATGGTATAAGTCCATATATCAAGAGACGAAAACTTATTTATTACACACAGGAATACATGGAACAATATTATAACCGAGAAATTACGGTTTTAAAAATTTCGGTGTATGGTGTGTGGTGGTACTTAAAAGTGATATAAGATGGCCGTTAGCGTAAGCGGAAGCAAGTAAAAAAGAGTTGACAAGTGACATGAGCGCATAAACCGATAAAAATAGAAATTAGTCTTGGCTATGTAAGTAACACATAAGAGATCAGAACGTTAAAAATGGGGTGTCAAAAAACAAAACCATGAAGATAATAATGGGTTTGGTATAATAATAACGAACCGATACAACTAGTAACAAAGCAAATTTATAAATTCTATAGTAGGTAAAGGTAACAATATCAGGGTATGAGTCCGGGGCCGTAAGCAATAACTGAAGTAGCTACTTAGCTGATGTGTAATGGGCATAATGGCGCCTAGAAGACATGAAAAATTATTTATTGATAACTGTCAAAAAAAAAAAACAACCTAAAACGTAATAATAAACATTGATGAACTAAAACTGAAAGGATCGATTAAAATCTTTAATTAAGGCAGGGAAAAGGAGGAGCAACAGGATTAAAAGGGGAGTAACAGGAAAATGTTAACGTTCTTTGGGTTGAATTTGTTCATTTAAGCAAATAACATTTGTAAATTTCATATTATCATGTATCATTTACCCACTAATTGGTAAAATATTTTTTCAATTATAATCAAATTAAGTCTCATTAGCATACTTTCTTAGAGGCCTGATGATGGCCACTGACCGAAACTAGTCCCTTTTTTCTGTTTTCAATAACAATAAATAATTTTTGTGGTAAAGAATTAGAGTCTTTCCTTCACGTATATACCACATTTGAGATATGGATAACCTTTTTAATCTTATATGTCTATGTTTTCGTTTTTAACATCACTAAATCGAGAAAAATTAAAATATTTTAATTTGAACAGAGTGAATAAACAACACAATTCATGTTTTTCTTGTTTGAATCTTGATCATTATTCAAAGCACTGCTTCTTCCATATAACATTAATTAAAAAAATCAAAATTTTTTTTCCTAATCCAAACTCACAATGAGACATTCTGTACTTATGAATAGTGTAACAATATGGTCCGGAAAAAACTAATCTTCTTGGTTTTACTCTTATTTCGCATACCGCAAAATAAAGTGGATCCATTAATTTATTTCACTGGTTTAAAAATAACGTTAACTGATCTTTACGAACCAGATGGGTATGTTTGATATATTAAACAATTGAAACCTCATGTCTACTAAGATTAGAGGACCCACCAGTGAGCTGTCTGTCGCATTGTGGTAAGGATTATAAATAGTTTAGATTATTAGTTTTACATAAACGTAATACGTGTACTTCGAAAGGAAATATTATTCCATAATCACATAATTTTATTTCAAAAAAAGTACAATATGGCTTTTGTAATTTTCTAATTCGGGCCATTACAAGTTTATATTAACTACCTTAAAATTACCTCTTCAATACAAAAAAAAATATACATAAATGCTTTTCTTGTGGGGAGGGGGATTCTTGGATTTGAAGTATAAGAAGGCAGTTTTGACACTCAATTGAAGCAAAAATTAAATAAATAGATAAAAATTAAACTAAAGATTGGGTTGCAAATTAAATATACATATAAAGTAGCCATAAACAAAGTTTTTTGACACACTAACCTATTTAAGTTGCTTAGATATAAAAGTGAATTCATATAGAACAAAAATCAAATTACCTTATTTCAAATCTTGATATTTAAAATTATTGAAAATTGTTAATCAAGTGGACAAACTTATTTAAAAACCTTTCAGCGTTCATGTTTTATTACTTAATAATATTTTTCATTGAACTGTTAATATTGTTACGCAGATTTTTGATAGCTTAATTTAATTCAACTCAACTTTACAATTCAACTCCATAACTGATAACATAAACGTATAACGTCTATCATAAATCTGAACTCTGACATCATGATCACCAAATAATATAGCTCGCTTTAACCTTCTGGAACCTTCCCGAAACGTCCAGATGTTTCTTGACGTGGAATAATATATCTAGACATTTCTCGAATGTTCTCTCTTCTTCTTTTACTCGCACCTTTACTTGTGACAACCGCAGCACACTGTAGGGTAATAAGTAAAAATAATAATTTTTGTAATAAGTTTAAAATTCATAATAAAATTTAAAAAATATTCATATACTAAGAAAAATTTATTTCTATCTTTGTTCAATCTAGAACATCAAGAAAATAAAAGAACATCCTGCATATAAAATAATTTAATTCTTTCATTGCATAAAAATGTTATTTTAAAATATCGAAATTAGATCTTTCAAATTAGCATGTACAAAAGCTAACTTGCAGTAATTTATTTTATTTTGTTGACCTTGTTATGATTGAGGTGATTGAGTTTATGATGTAGGGTTGGTTGTAGCTTAGCCGTTGCTTTGTAGTTTAGATTGCTTGCTTGCTTGCACACTCGCTTAACACGCCTGCTTTGTGGGTAGGTAACTTTTCTACAGGACGATGGAGAAATGCAACCATCGAGTGCCTGTCTCTTCGTGGCACCACTGGATAAGGCCAATAGCGAAGTTTCAAGAAGCACCACTATTGACTAACCAAATGGCACTCCAGCAAAGCCCAACGCCACGGTGTAAGGTAACGTGCCTAAGGATGAATGGCCGCAGGGCTTAATATGCGGTTGCGAACGTTCCCTTGGAGGAACCGGGCGAAACTCCCAAGGAGCCAGCCTTGACTCTGTACGGGGGTCACTGCAGAGTTGGACCAACCCTTCCCCCATACTCGTGGGAACAAATATGAGTACAAACAATTTGAACAAAATGGACACCCAAGGAGAAGAGTCGGATACAGACAATTCAGGCTCCTTGAACATGACTGTCGGAGAGATTGCGTTAGCTTTGGACTCCGACTACTCAAGGGAAGGAGGAACTGCGAAAGCAGAGGATTATAACCTCTTAGCGGAAGGATCTGTGAAAACAGACGACTGCTCCCAAACAAAATAAACGGTTAAAAAAGCAGATAGACCGAAAAAACCTTCAGGAGCGGAGAGTAAGAAGCTTATGAAGGAAAGAAAAATGGCAACAGGAACGTTAACGGAGGAAAATCTCCACAAGAATGCAGCCCAAAAACGAACCCAACGGAGGGAGGATCAAACGAAGAAAAAGGCCTCGATCTGAGTCGCAGACTCCCCCCAATCGAAGTAAAACTAAGCGGGCCAGAAATGCTTTGGCATCGGCTGGCTCGTACAGCGACACTTTGAGGGGTATCCGACTGGCTGTCATCCAAAGAGGACATCCAGATACAACCCTAGACCAAGCACAAGGAGACTTGGTACAAGAAACTCTTCCGGAAAGGCTCTACGCTACCCCTTCAGGCAGTGGAGGAGCACCACAGTTCCACAGAACATCGTTTAGCGCAGGGGTCATTTGGACTTCTTCAGCTCCAGAATACGAAACTGAAGACGCCGGACTGGCTTTTAATGAGCAGGAAAATTGAAAAGGGAGGGCAACTCCTAGCCTTTTTATTTGACGAAGCGTCGTACGGGGCCTTCGAGAGCACACAATTCCGGGCCTATTATAAGCTAGGAAGGGTGACCTTCAAGGTCTTAAGGCGGCCTGGGGAGGATCAGGATAATCCAGATCAACCCCTCCAGCACTGTAAGGCTGCTTCGGCTGTAGTTACAGTGGCGATGGGGAGGTTTGAAGTGGCCCAGGTACAAGAACCGTGGATTATACATGGTACAATAAGAGGTTTAGGAGGGTTGGGTAAATAGTTAATATATGACAGATCCACAGACACCCCTCGAACATGCATAATTGTCAAAAAAGACATAAAAATACTGCCGGTAAGCAATTTCTATTCCAGAGATTTGACAGCAGTCAGAAGCAAGATCCATGCAGGAAATGGACCGAAGGAGGTAATACTCGGATCGGCAGATGATCATTGGCTGTGATGCAAACGCACACCACAGGATCTGGGGGAGCACTGATACCAACGAAAAAACCTTTACTACAATTAATATGGCAAATAATTTAGACATAACAAATGTAGGCAATAAACCGACCTTTATAACAAAAAACAGAAATGAGGTACTAGATGTAACAATAGAATCAACATACTTGAGAAATTTTGTTACAGACTGGCATGTGTCTGACGAAAAGAGTTTATCAGATCACAGACACATAAACTTCAATATTGAAGGTAATATTACAAAAGAAACTTATCGGAATCCCAGGAAAACAGACTGGGAGGCATAAAATGCTTCCCTGGAATGTAATCTTCCAAAGATAGGAAACACGATAAGAACAACAACCGACCTAGAAATGGCTGTGGATGAGTTTAATGACACAGTCACTAGCGCTTTCAACGATACTTGTCCCTTAATAGTAAGGAACTCTATCAGGAAAGTTCCATGGTGGAATGATGACCTTGCTATACTAAGGAAAAAGGTGAGATAAAAATTTAATCAGGCTAAAATAACCGGCAAATGGGAACTATATAGAATCATACGCATAGTCTTGGAAAAGGCACTGTGAGGAGATAGCAGGCACTCAAGAATGTGCCAGGCTCCAAAAATTTCTCTCAAAAGACACACAACATACAATAAACACCCTTAAGAATGAACTGGGGGAGTACACAATCACAGTAAGGGAACTCTTCAAGGTTCACTTCCCTGGTGCACAAACCATAGCACACACACCGGCTAACCGGAATCTAAACGGATTGGAAGATCACAATAGAGCCAACAGGGAAGATTGGAGCATAGCCAAATAAGTGGTGAACTATAGTAAATTGAAATGGGCAATTAGCTCATTCAAAGCATATAAATCACCGGGTATGGACGGGATTTATCCCATAATGTTACAAAGAGGTCTTGATATTTTATACAGCAGACTCTGTAACATATTCAGAAGTAGCCTGGCCTTTGGACACATACCAAAAGCTTGGAGAAATATTGGGGTACCTTTTATACCAAAACCTTAGAAAATGGGACAGGAAACGGCAAAGTCCCAATAAGTCTTGTTCTTTGTACTTAAGACTTTGGAAAAACCTAGATAGGCATATTAGAGACGGGATATTGGTTCAGAGGCCAATATACCAAGACCAATACGCCTATAGTACAGGGAAATCAACTAAAACAGCTCTCCATCAATTATTTAAAAGGGTGGAGAACACACTGGAAAACAAGGAGGTAATGCTGGGAGCATTCTTGGATATCGAGGGTGCATTTGACAATACCTCCGTTGAATCGATCATTAGATCTCTCAAACACAGAGATATCGGGGACACATGCGTGTCCTGAATTGACTCTATGTTAAGGGAAAGAACTATATACACAATTCTTATGGAAGAGACAATAGCGGCACGGGTAGCGAGAGGATGTCCGCAGGGTGAAGTGCTGTCTCCACTCCTGTGGAACCTTTTAGTGAACGGACTGCTTAGGGCTCTCAAAGATTAGGGAAATAGAATCCTGGCATATGCCAATGATCTAGTGATCATGGCATAGGGAAAATACAACACTATAGTAAGGGATCGAATGCAAGAGGCTCTAAATATAGTAATAAAATGGACAGAGGCGGAAGGACGAAACATTAGTCCAAACAAATCTGACATAATTGCATTCACCCGCAGGAGAAAATTGGAGGGACTAGGGCCTCTAAACCTAAGAGGTGCAAGCATCCAGCTTAAAGGGGAGGTAAAATGTCTCGGGGTTATGATTGACTCGAGACTTACCTGGAACCAGCATCTAGAAAAAAAACACAAGGAGAGCGGAAACCTCGTTAATGATGGCAAGGCGATCCTTTGGAAAAATGGCGGTTAAAACCAGACATGGTATATTGGCTTTATAACATGGTGGTGAGACCGATAATAATATACGCAGCTTTAGTGTGGTGGCCAAAGACACAGCAACGGAAAGCAATAACGAGGCTAAGCAAGGTACAAAGACTTGCCTCGGAATAACGGGGACAATGAAAATAATCCCCACTGCTGCAATCAATGGAAGCACTTATAGGACTCCCACCTCTTCACTATGTGATACAAGGGGAGGCAAGATTAGGTGCTTACAGATTAGGGTATACACTAGGAAATCTTGACATTAGACCAGGTCACATGAGTATCTCAAGGTTAGTGACAGAAGACGTGCTAGACATGAGATCAGACCACATAACTAAGAGGTACTCTCTTAATACTTTATTTGAGGTTTTAATACAGGAAAGAGCGGAGATCACTATAAGGGAGCCCAATGCTCAACGACAGAAATAAACCTGGTATACAGACGGGTCTAAGACTGCGAAAGGCACTGGGGCGGGAGTATTCTCCAAAAACCCTGATACTAACCATAGCTGTGCTATAGGAATACATTCCTCGGTATTTCAGGCCGAGGTATACGCAATTTTGCAATGTGCAAAAACGAACAATGAAAGAGCTGTCGAAAATCAGCATATTCAAATGATGTCAGGCAGCCAAGCGGCACTTAAGGCCATATCGAGTCAGAAAGTTATATCAAGGCTGGTATGGGAATGCATCGAAGAACTAAGAACCCTGGCAAACCGAAATATAGTAAAACTATATTGGGTTCCAGGTCACCAAGGGATTAACGGCAACGAAAAGGCTGACGAACTTGCAAAAAAGGGTCAGAAGAAACACCGGAACCAGACAAAAACCCAGGAGTACCAAAAACTACAGTCCGGGGTTTCATAAACGACTGGATTCGGGAACAACATATTAACTATTGGGGAAGCACCCCAAAATAGGCACATAGAAAAGCCTTCATAGGCAGATCATGTCCCAAAAGAACTGGAGAACTACTGTTTATGAATAGGATCCAGTTGAAAGTGATAACAGGGTTCATGACTGGGCACGCCCCAGTAAAGGGACACTTGAACAAAATTGGCATGTACAATGGGGAACTCATGTGTTGACTATGTCACAAGAAACCAGAAACGGCTAAACACATACTGTGCGAATGCGAAGCTCTAGATCGCAAAAGGCAGGCTCTTTGTGGACAACCCCAGGTTGATCCAACAACGTATAGAACCCACTCACCCAAGGATCTATACAAACTTGTACAAGGTACAAAGGTGATAGAGTGGGTGCTATAAACTAACATGGGGTAAAACACAATAAGCCAATAGGCTTCAGTGTTATTCGGAGACATAATCAGACGAGCCCAGGAGAAAAAAAACAAAGAAGAAGGAGGAAGAAAAATGTATTTCTGTCTTTATTCAATCTTAAACACCAAGAAAATAAAAGAACATCCTGTATATGAAATAATTTAATTCTTTCATTGTATAAAAATGTTATTTTAAAATATCGAAATTAGATCTTTCAAGGTAGCACGTACAAAACTGCTAACTTGCAGTAATTTATTTTATTTTGTCGACCTTGTTATGATTGAGGTGATTGTATTTATCTGTGATTTAATAAATAATGGTTTATTTTAGAAATAAAGCGATTCAAAACTAAAAAGTTGTAGTATTAACCCGAATTAACAAAAAACCCTAAAGGTCGATTCAACAGTCTTACAATTTTGATAAATTGATAAAGCGCTGATTCTAAACTACTTGTCTTACTTTGATGAAACACATTTGAAAATAATAATTATTTAAAAAACGCATATCGGTCCGTGAGATCTTGCACTTATTTTTCCTTAAAATTTAACTTTTCTTGCTTTGATAGATGCGAATTCATTAATTACATCTTCATAGTTAAGTTTGAAGCACAATATTTTCCATTTACATTAATTAAAGTTTTTCCATATAATTAGTTAATTTATATAAAAAAATCCAATTTACAAGATAAATAAACTGGGGTTATATAAGATTAGGGTTTTAAGTAAAGGGAATATTAGTATGTTGATTATTTCAAGATTAAAAAAAATTCGTCAACTTTAAAAGTTTTCCTATTAAAAAAATAGTTAAAAATGTTACTGTACCCTAATGATTTTCCAGTGTATTGGAAGCATAAACTGAAGTTCGAGCAAACTTCCGTGGAATTTCAAATACTTCCCCAAGTCTCTCTATATTTGTTTATAATGGTAACTGTTAGGATGAGTAATGGACAGAGCCGTCCAAAAAAGAATGTGTAACAATTTCGCAATTCAATTTGCATGGGGCTGCCTTGCCTGCCAGTCCCTGTCTGTCAGGTTTAACTGAAACTGAATTCTCCTCGTCTGGGGAACTCGGCAAGGCGATCAGCGGCGTGTTGCAAGTGAAGTAGTAAATTTGGAAAACTTCAATTGCACTCAATAGCCTAGTTAATGCTTAGATTCTTATCGATTCTTTTTACCTAAATTAATCGAAAATTTTTATCGTAGTACCGTGTAACTTGTAATTTTTTTATAACTTATATAACTACATCAAAATATTTTTGAAGTATACCTAGATCTAAAAAACTAAAAATTTTACAGATAATATGCTAAATTGTGTTTACGATTCTCCTTAAAAAATAAAAAACACATACTATGGTTCTATATTTGGTGTGGTGCAAAGAAAGGGAGTATTTTTTCATAATCTGCTATGAAAAAAAAAAAAGCTTGAGAACCAATCTTTTACCATTGGTCTGTTAATGAACCAGTTCAGTTTTAATTTTTTTATTAATAATCAAATATTTTGAATTATCAATGAATTTACCTGATTTCTGAAGTTACATATAACTATAAAAAACCAAATGAAATAGGTCTACAAGCAATATTCAAACATTACTAAAATTGGTGTTATCCGAACGTCTATATTTGCATGCAGGGACTGAAATTATAACAGTATATTAAAAAATTATTTGTTTACATTCAATTTTTTTGTAATATTACTCTAAATACAACTGGTGCATTAACGCACCACTGGCCAAATAAGTAGTTTTGGTACACTGTAATGAAATAACTATTCCCCCTACTATTAGTGTTATTGTATTTGACCTTAAAGGGTCTGAGGTATTGGAAATTCGGGTTTCTGTTATTCTTGTTGTGTCACCTCTTTATGTTGGACAATATATGTGCCAATGGTTGTTCACATCAATACAGGCCAATGTGTGGACCTAAAATGGATATCGAGGAGCTAACTGAACTAATCGCTTGACCAACGTGTGGACGCAACAGGCATAATTCCACCAACACCCCCACCAAAACACTTTAATATGTGTCTAAAGACCGACACTACACGGATCTAACACCAAGGAGTGAGCCAACATTCCATTATACCTACCAAGATGACCAAAAACCCCTTGATACATATTGGCCACAACTATTAATAATAATTATTAATAATAATGTTTATTAGTGATAATAGTACCGGCAAACGGGGTGACTAAGGACGGAATTGACAATGTATTATAAATAATTCACGTTAGTATCAATCTATATGAAAATTACAGGTACTGTATTTTCGCGACACGTTCACACGATAGAAGAAAAAAATTTGAATTATAAATATTTTTTTTAATTCAAAAAATGTTCGTGTGGAGTTACTCAGGACATGCGTTTATTATGCAGTAAAAATATTGTATCACCTACTCTGGTTGAGATAGGACAAAAATCACATTTTAAAAAATGCATTTATCTACTTATTATCATTGAAAATCTTAGAAAATGATGAAAACACATCTCAAGAATAATTTTTATTGAGATCAAATACAGTAGAAACAATTTTTTTGATATAAACTACCCAGTTTTTCAAATTTTTATCAATTTTTCATATTCACATAACATGGAAATTTGACACCCCCTCTCTGAAGTTGCAGTGGTTGTACTAGAAACTACTTAAGACTTTGAGAAATATCCACAACAGATTCATCAGGAACTTGTGGAAAAATAAAGGTATTTTCGACTTAAGAGCTTTCTCTTAAAAAAGTAATGCACAGTTGTCCGTCATCGTTTCCTAAGATTTTACCTACAAAATTCCTAGAAAACTTTCCCTCTGTAAATTTTGCAATGATAAACTCATCTGTTTACAAATCTTCCACACCTGGTTTTTCTCCGTCGCTTTTTACATTTGGTGAATTTCTTGCTACTCCCTCTGATTCGGTGTCGTTATATTTTCTTCGAAAATTTGGCTGCCTTTTCTTGCCCATTTCACCAGATCCGCTGATGGCAAACATAACAGATCTCGATGTTTTACTGGAATCAAGCATGTTTGCTGGACCTACGAATTACGACTCGCTAACGGCCAGGGTAATCATGTCTCGTCGTAATTAACGATGTGCTAAGGAGGAATATTTTCTAAAAATGTGTTTAATTCATCAAAATATGAATGGATTGATTGTCTATCAACTACAGCCCTTGCTCGTTTTATATTCTCCAAAAGTCTCAGTGCTAAATTATTTTGTGTCGAATCAGAAAAGATTTCATCCAGTCCGGCCCTGGCAAGTTATTGGTAAATCTTCTGATGCTTACACCCCTTTTACCATAATACTGTTTCACCAAAATACGCACGTCCATTGGTTCTAATGGGAATCCCCAATCGGCAAGACATATCAAAGAACTAACAATTTTGTTCTCTTCAACGTTCATTATGGCTAATTGTTCACCAGGTTTTTTCAAATTCCTATTTTTCACATGCTGATTTATTGTTTTTTTAGGTATTCCGTATTTAATCTCCAGATTTCTATAGCTGGTTCCTTTCTCCAACCTTTCTTAAACATCTTTCTGCAAATTTTTGTTTTCATAATTCTGATATGGCCTAGAACCAAGCCTCTTGATATATTTTCGGGGCATGTCCCGAGTCACCCTGAAAAAGAACCTGAGATTAGATTTCCAACGATAAAAAAAATTAAATTTAGCAGCATAAAAAATCTTAAAACAACATTGAGAACGTGTCAACTGAGCGTATAAAACAAATTTCATAGCAAATTTTTTTCGCGGGAACGAAATGTTATGCAGCTGTAGCGAATGAGACACTAACAACTAATAAGTAAACACGACTCACTGACCGAATTCCGCCGCCGGCCCAGCGCATGCGTATAAAAATCAATAATGTGATAAACTGAAATGTAACATAACATGACCATAAAAACTAACACATTAGGTAACAAATTGAAAAAGTGGGAAATTAATTGTTATTAGATATTAGGAAAAACTTAATTGATTTTTTAAAATGGTTACGTGTATGAGTTTTTAAAATGTTCTGGTAAAAAGTTATAAAATCGGGGTGCTAAATACTTACAGCCGTATGCATAGTCGATCGCCAGCGACTCGCCAGAGATTCATTTCGGCGTATCGCCAGCGATCCGCCGGCGAAAGCCCAAAAAGCTGGCGACTCGCCGGAGATTGTCACCGGAATGTCATTTTACGCAAGTTTTCATGTTCTTTTATAGGGAAAAATTTGATATTCGTTCATTATTTTTTGAGTTTTAAGAAATGAATCATGAATAAAATGCGAGAGATACCGGTGATAATCCCTATAAAAGAAAATAAAAACTTGCGTGAAATGACATTCCAGTGACAATCTCCGGCAAGTCGCCAGATTTTAGGGCTTTCGCCGGCGGATCGCCAGCGAATCGCTGGCGATACGCCGAAATGAATCTCTGGCAAGTCGCTGGCGATCGACTATGCATACGGCTGTTGAAGTTTCTTTGTCCAATTGTTTTTTGTTTTTTTCGGAACTTGAAGATATTTATTTTTCTTAACTCTGGTAGTATAGAAACGAGAAATTACATTAACATTTTGTTTGTGTTTAAATAAAAAAATCAGAGTTTTAAGGAATAATATCTGACGAATATCCAAAACGAATGCATCCCGAAAAAGCTGGTCAGAAGGGTAAGTTTTGCTAATAATATTTTTAAAGAGTATTTTGAATCGATTGTAATTTTTGTAGATGTACATCTAAAATTTCAAAGGTTAATCAAGACTCAACAAGTAAGTAGTATAACATTTTTAAAAGATGTAGATATAGGATATTCGACAAATTATATATTGTTTAATTCATTATAGCTAGACAATCAATTTTTGTAACTACAGACCGATAGATACATCGTTTTCTCATAATTAATTGTCAATAGATGAAAATTAAATTAATCAATAAAAGTTTACATATCGTCTTCTATTTTCTGTTTCAGATCAGACCAAGTCTCAGCAGTGTAAAATAGTACCGTATCATCAGCAAAATTATATTTGGTTCCAGTAACACTTAGAGTTAGTAAATTATTCAAATAAAGAATAAAGAGAATTGGTCCCAGAACTGTCCCTTGCGGAACTCCACATTTTACAACTTTCTCTGTGCTTATACAATCATCTATTTTTACATGCTGTGTACGATTTTGAAGATATGATTTGAACATTTTTAGATCTGTTCCACGTATTCCTGAATCCTTTGACGCGTCCAATAAATGTCTATGATCTACAGTATCGAACGCCTTTACAAGATCATCAGCATCATAAATATTTGAAATTAATGCAGATATAGCATCTTCTGTTGATTTTCCCGTCTGAAAACCGAACTGGTTGGGTGACAAAATTTTTTCGCTAATCAAAAATGATTCAAGCCTAACTTTTATAACTTTTTCAAACAGTTTTGCAAAACTATTGACTAATGAGCTTGGTCTATAGTTTAAAGCCAGACTTTTATCACCTTTTTTGTCAAGGGGCTTCATGATAGCGACCTTGAATTCAGTTGGGCAAGTTCCGTCTGAAATTAACTTGATTAAAAAACATAAATGGTCAGGCTAATTCAGAGTTAGTTTCTTTAAGCAATTCTGTTTTTATTTTATCGGGACGGTGGTGTAGCGGTCTATCGCGCTTATATTCATTTATAGGCAAGTTTATGAGTCTGAGACTGCTGGGTTTCGAATCCCAGACCGGACCATGTGGATTTTTAATTAAATTGCATGGTTCGGTTTAGGATTTGATGTGTGGCGTATTAATGGAAATTCAATTTCTGTTGATATGACATGCAGATTAAAAAAAATTCGCCATACATTACCGTCTCGATGATGGTGGGTGAGGTTTTCCGGGTTTTCCTCATCTATAAGTCAAATGGCACCATCAATCATCTTTAAGTCGCCCCGGAGCGCCACGGCAAATAATAATAATAACCGTCCCTTCCCCTACACAAGTCGTTCAGTCGACTTCAGGGGTTGAAATTCACTCGTAAGGGGGTGAATTAGGGAGAGTATTATTAATATTATTAATACCGGGAGTTTTATTATTTTTTAATGAATTAAATTATTTCTGTTTCACTGACTGGTTTCATAAAAAATTGAATTTTTATTAATACGTCTCTTTGAATGAAAAAAATGAAGGTTTTGAATTTTTTAGCAAGATCGGGTCCAATGTTGTTACTAGATTTGGTACTATTTAATAGCGTTTTTCTTTAATATTAGAATGTTTAGGATTCGAATTTGTTATATTATTTATAGTTTTCCACATATTTTTTAGTTTTATTTATTTTTTTCAATTTGTCGTTTAATATGATATTCTAATTTTATTTAACTAATCAGTTTATGTAAATTGTTTCGATATAAAATAAATTCTTGTTTTAAATTTAAATCTCATGGTTTTTTTTTTTATTTTTATATAATCTTTCTCGTATTGATTTCATTATGCCAGTAGTTATCCACTCCTTTCTCTTAATCGTTTTTTTAATTTGTTTAACTTTAACTGTATGTTTGCAAACAAAATCATTTAAAAATATGATGTAGTTTCTTGTGCATCCTGAATATTATACAAAATAGACCAGTCAAACGATAAGTTAATAATTTTTCACTTTTCTCAAAGACATTCCAATTAAAAATAGTTGCTCTATGGTCAGTTACTAAAGTTTCAATTTAACAAATATGTGATCCAAACAAGATTATGAATTACCTTGAATAGTGTATGCATTTATTACAGAAGTAAAATTGTATTTATTTATCGCATTAAGATAGACACTAACTAATTTAACTTTCGAAAATAGATTTATGTTTATGCCCTCAACAATAAGGTGTAAGTCACTGCTACTTTGTCTCAAAAGAAAATCATATAATTCATCTACATTAATCTCGTTAGTAGACGGAGGTCTGTATAATGCTGTTATTGTGATATCTTTATTTTCTTTAGTAGTACTAATATTAATTGCTTTACAACCATTAATTTCAGTAATTTTTGAAGTATAATTTAGCTGATCTTTATACTATTATTATTTATTTATATTACCGAAATTAAAAATAATTTCGTACCCATCCAAATGACAGAGGTTGATGTCAAAATCATTTCTTGTTTCAGTAAGTACGATGCAATCAAAACAGCTAGTAAAAGTATTAAGGGTAGCCTGTAAATAGTCTAAATTTTTTGATATACTTTTAATGTTTTGATACCACATATATTGACCAACGTGGAGAAAAAAGCCTTCAAAAACATTATTGAGTTGTGATAATTCTGTTTTTTAATGGGTTAGAATTATTCTTATTCTTACTATAATCACCTAATGAGATTCCCACGCATAATCTGGATCAAGTTATTTTTAAGCAAGAAAAGCATAGACGTTGCAGAGTTATAATTATACAATATAGGTGCAAAAAGTTAATTTGCATGCCAATTGTTTTTCGCAATACCGTTGTTTTTGCAATTTTGTAAATTTTGCAAATTTCTAGAACGTTAGCCACTAATAGTGAAAAAGTAATTAGAGGCAAATAAATTCCATGCTAAAATAAGGTAAGACTTATTGCAATCATTTGCCGCGTTTTAATATCCACATCCGATGCATTTTTTACATCTCGAGCGTTTGTTTATTCACATCGGATACATCTACTACATCTATATCTGCGTTTGTTTATCCGAGATGTACCTGTCCAGATTACATTTTTTTTACATCTCGATTTGAAATAAAACGTGAATGAGATGTTCGTTCCATGCCAGAAAGTAAGTGTTCTGTGAAGCCAAGTTTGTCAATTTATCCTTTATTTATACTAGCATGAATATAAAAGTGCGATTAGTTTATTTAATTTTTGTTTAGATTTCTTTAGGTTGATTTGTAGTATTAAAAGTCAAATTTAAAAAGTATAAACTTATAACTTGTCATTGTCATTTTACCACGTGACTAATAAAGTCTAGAGCGTTTGTTTAATACATCTACATTCAGATCTAATTCTCTATTACGTGATAAAAAATTCACAACATCTCAGACGTGGTGTGAATATAGGATGGTGTGCTCGCGCGCAGGCAGCCTCCGAACTGTGACGTCAGCAACGAGTATTTCTGTCAAAAATGCATGCAGTGGTACAAGAAAATCGCAGTTTATTCTTATTCTCGGTTTTGTTATCATTTTTTAAAAAAAAATTTTACAAGAAACGTTACTATTAGAAGTGTTACTGGTTTGATTGGGTAGAGTTTTTAATTAAGTCAACTGTTTTTTACAAATTTAAATAGAAAATTAGACAACAAAGTAAATATTGTAAAATCGTTTAGGTACCTACTAGGAAAATGTTATGGAGTGTATAGGTAAGAAGAACTATCTCTGTATACAAAAAATGTACCTCAAAATGAATAAAATTAAGATGACGCTTCTGTACCAGAGGGAAAAATCCAATTATATAGTTTGACTTTTTTTGACAGTTTTCGCCTACAGTTTTCAAAGCTAACTTTTTTATTCAAATATCTTAATCTGATATAGGTTCTAGTTCTTATTAAACACACTATAATTTTATTTCGAAATTGTTTTGTTGCTTCTACAGAACCGGCTCTAATTTTATCTAATAATTTTTTAAAAATATTTAATTCCGTCGAAAAGAAGTTATTATGAAATCGATTAAATTCGGTCTCAACTATACGGGCTAGTTTTAACATTTCTTCACTTGGGTATATAAGGTTGCCTCCAGATATAAACTCGATCCAATCGGGGGTATGAGTTGTTTGACAAAATGTTTTCGGTGCACTCAATTTTAAATTTGAATATTCGTTTTTAAATCTATAAGCTACATATCCAGCAATAAATTTTAGGCCTTCTTTAAAAATAAAGTCGGGCATTTTGTTTTTTTCTAACTGCGTTAAAAGATTGTCATGATCTTCAGAAAAAAAATTGTCTGTTCCATAATCTGGACTCTGGAAAGTATGGTCAGAAAACGTTTCTTTACTAAAAAGATTCGATGTTTCAACAAAATCGCCGTCAGAAAGAACTTTTTCAAGCAACTGTTGGGTTAAATTGATTTCAGAGTTTGTCTGCAATGTCATCTTTTTTTAGAAATGGCTCGAGTAGGCACGTTTCGATACTATCCTCAGTATTTCTGATCATTGAAAATATGGCGAGTGAATGTTTTCCAAGAATGTACCACCGCAACTTATATTTAATATCCATAGGTGTTGGATGATCATTAGTTGCTCCGATACCGCGAATATATGAAAAAAAAAATTTCAAGAACATCTATACATATACATTTACTTAACTTGTAACAGAAACACATACAAATAAATGGCATAATGGGAATATTTCAAATCAGTTCGCTACAATTGCCTCGTTGCTGACGTAGGTGCGCGCCAGATGTGAATTTCAACCCGCTGGCAAGCACACCATCCTATACTCACACCACGATCTCAGATGCATCCGATGTGGATATTCAAACGCGGCAATTGTCCTTATAAATATTTCTAACCTCATTTTAAAAATTTTAAATTACAGTTCATCTTTTGTTGTCTATGTCACGATATTAAAAAAGCATTAGAAATTATCATTTTAGACGGTTTTGATGATTAAATATTTAATATTAAAAAACTTCGAGTTGATACGAGTAGGCGAGCGCACCCGAAAGCTATAAAGTTGCCACTATCTGCCGCTCTTAAACATCCACAATTAAGGACAGCACAATCTTTAATAAAGTCAGTTCTAGAACATAAACGATCTGTACATGCTTAAATATCAAAATAAGAACGGCGCTAATAGTAACTGACCTTCAGTAAACTTGCACTATTTCTCTTTTGTTATATTTATTAGATTATACAGAATTAGTTCATAGAGTGGTAGTGGATGATATCTCCGTTATTATATAAGACAGCAAAAAAGTTATTTACCATATACAGTGTCGGCTATTAGGTAGAGCTACAAGTAGAGAATACTCAAAAAGAGTTTTATATTGACTACGGTGATGTAGGTGTCTACGACGCGGCATTCATTTGTCAGCCAATTTTCTGGTAAAACCAGAAACGGTTTCAGATCCTACCCAAGAGCATGTGAATTTATTTGCATGGTTCTCTATAGGATTTGATGGATGCCATATTAGCAGAAATTTAATTTCTGTTGATATGACATCCAGATTATTAAAATAAAATCACCATGCGCTACCGTTTTCGATGATAGTGGGTGGGGTTCTCCGGGTTTTCCTCACCTGTAAGTCAAATGGCACCATCAATCATCTTTAAGTCGCCCCGGAGCGTCACGGTAAGTAATAATAATAATAATAATAGCCGTCCCTTTCCCCGCACAAGCTCAGCTTTTAGGGCTAAAATTCACTCGTAAGGGGGTGAATTAGGGAGAGTATTATATATATTATTATTATATTTTAAAATGTTTATTTAGAGTGGACTGAAATGGACATACATGGACTGAAAAAGGGCAGGAAAAACTTTTTTATTTTCACCTTCTTGAAAAAATGTTATTTCCCATAAATGTTTTGTATGTTTCAAAACTTATAATAATCCAAACAGAAGTAGAATATCACTTTGCTTTAGTGAAATTATGACAAAAATGTAAAAAAAAATATCATTTTAAAAACAATAAATTTTAAAGTACTTAGGTTGAACAGAAAATTCTGAAAATCAAATAAGTTCTAATTTAGAAACAATTGTTTCCAAAGGAAAGAGATTCAACTTCTATTTGGTTTATTACTATTATTTTTAAAATAAAAACTTTTGAAAACTTATATTTTTTTAAAAAGGTGAAAATAAATAAGTTTTTATTCATCTGGATGAAAGTACTCACTTGTACCAAAAAAACAGTATTTAAGTACAATTTAATCGAGTACTGCTCAGCTTTGCCGACTATCTATATAAAGCCAGCTCTGCACTAGTACATTCTCGACGGTCTAGAATCTCCGGAATTTATTTCTCTATGACCCAAAGAAGTGCATTTGTATCTGTCCTGAGGTATAGAAATATAGACAAAGCGACAGATATAACGGCAAAGGGATCAGCGTCGGCTTAAGGTGGTTACACGACAATACTATGGTTGATATAGACTGGACTCTTTCAAGGAAAAGTTCTTTATAATCTCATTGCTATTACTATTATTTTTTGTAATTGTAATTGTTTTAATGTTTCATACTATACACTATTGTTAATATTGTTAAGTAATAATGTTAAATTACTAATATTGTTATTATCCATGTACCTAATTAGATTCTATTGGTCTGTTTGAATATAAATAATTAAGTAATAAATAAATAAATAACCAATTATCTATACACAAACGACTAAGGGTTTATGCCCTAATCATTGTCTTCAACATTTTTTCTGTAATTTTGTACTTGCCTTTCATTTGTAACTTTGTTAATTGTAATTTTGTGACTCAAATGTCTTGTTCATATTTTATGTTTACATATTTTTATATTCACACCCACAATTATTGTAGATAAGCCCTGAAGATGGCGTTATGTTGAAAGCACTTTGCATTTTAAATAAAACAATTTTGAACGAAATACAAGGTTTTTTTGCTAATCTGAGCTATGTGCATATAGCCGTTAATCTTTTTTGGTTCCCTTAATACTGTATTATATTTTGAGAAAAAAACAATCATTTTTCCTAAAATTTATAAAATTATTTCAACATTTTTAATAAAACTGAAAAAAAATTTATCGATAATTATTTCTCAAAATGACCAGCATTTTATTTTTATCCGAAAGTTGAAGGATTTGCTAGAAGCTTTAAAAATCGTATTTTATAAGTCATTTTATTTTGAAACTTCCTAAATTAAGGTACTATTCAAACGGGAACAATATCAATTTTTCAGAACGTTTTATGACATATTATGTTATAGTGATCAAAAGTGTAATATTGTAGAAAGAACATTTTTAATTTTCGTTATTAGTTTATTTTGAAAACAAGCAACTATACTAGAGAGTTTATAGAGACAAATTAATTTTAAAATAAAGAAATTTCCTGCTTTATTACTGAAAGTCTATAAAACCATTATTTTACTAATTTTACAACTAATAAGTGCAGTTGATCTCTTCCCACGAAAAGCCGTCCATTCATCCGTAGCAACACAAATCGACATAAGAAAATTACGATGCAGAGACGTGAAAAGCAAACTTATTTTACATAATGTAAAATTTCAACTGTTGTTTTTTGAGTTAACATTCTTTCATATTACCATTCTTGGCTAAAATAAATCTATTAATGTATATTTAATGTTTTAAATAAAAAATGTAACGAAGGGGTTAGATATTTTAGACAGTTCTACAGATTCTAAGACATATTTTTTCCACCCAATAGTAATTTATTTTTCCCTCAAAAAGTTTTTCTCTTTTTTATTATCTCTGAAAGTTCGTAAATGAATTTTTATCAAAGCTGTTAGTTACATTTTGAATCAAGATTAGAATCTATAAAAAACTAATAATTAAAAAAAAAACATTATTGCTCTTTTATTCAATTGAGTGACAGCATAAAATTTAGTTATTGAATTTGTATATTTCTGTTTGTATTTTTTAATTGTTTTTAATGTTTTGGGAAAATGTAATGTATTTATAATATCACTTTTTCAAAAATTTTGGATTGGTCTTGAATGTAATGTTAAGTCAAACGTCAAACTTGACTTCATTTGATCTTGTTAAATTTGAATTTGGAAACCATGCAAGTTTCCTTCCGACTAAAAGACGTTTGTAAGACGTCTTTGAGCGCTCATATTAATATATGGATTTGGCCAGGCGTCTTTAAGACGTTTTAAGAACGTCTTTGAGCTCTCTCACATTAATACGTCTGAATTATGGCTTCTGCCAGACCTCTTATAAGACGTCTTACTAACGTCCTAAGACATTGAGTTCAAACCAAGACAAAAAAGACGTCTTTCAGAGGTCGTGTGCTATCTGGGAACAACTTAATGTATTGTTTGATTGATTCAATGTGAAAGGTATCATAGACGTAAGTTTTTTAAAAAAGTATAATTATGATTAGCCCCTCATTTATGGGCTATCCTGTATAAAAAGGAATAATTTTAAAATAATAGAAGTACAACTTTTGTATTCAAAATTTCTTCATATCTTCAATAATAAAACAGATATCGATCGATTACGCATTGATGGAACATACTGTATATAAATAATAGGATAACATGTTGGTATGGCATCGCTGGATAGGTAAATTCATAACAAATTCAATCCTTAAATAATATATAGAGTAATGTTTTTGAGAAACTAAGTAAATTGTTTTTAAAATGTGCCAGCCATATTTATTACATGTTACGTGTAAAATAAACCACGTCTATAATTATCTTCGTTGGTTTGGTATTTTAAATAATTTTGAAATAATTGCTAATCTACCTAAATTAGTATAATTTTATTATTGATCCGCATCATTCGTCATTTTAACAACAAAATTAATTACTAGGCAACTCTGTAATATTTTTTAAAAATAATTTAGGGTTGAATTGGCCATATAACATACCATTCAGTAACTGAAATAAAATACAGCTTGCTCCAGTTAAAAAAAGATAAATTTTATATTTTCCAGGACAAAACTTAACGTCCTGTAGAGTAAAACGGGGGAATATGCATGTTAAGGAAGCAAAAAGGATAACGGAATGTACCGAAACGTTAGTTGACTATTTCTGTACGTCTTACGAACCTGCTAATATATCGTGTACAGTGAATCCCAGCGGTCTGTCTGATCATGAAGCCGTTTTAGCTTCGATATCTCTTGAGCATAAGCTTCCTAAGATTAATTCTCGTCATGGTCGATTGTTTAGTAAATCTAATTATGGAAAATTTCATTTAGTATGTAAAAATTTTAATTGGTACAGTTGCTTTACTGGTATATCTCCTTTTAACGATTTTTATTTAAATTTAAGCAAATTTTTTAATGCGTCTTTTCCTATTCAAAAAATAAAAATTAAGCCAAAAAAGCCGTGGATTACAGCTGGTTTAAGATGTTCATCAAAAAATATGAGATCTCTCAACTACCTATATAAAAAAATTTACGCAAAATAATTTATTTTTAAACTATTATTATCGCTACAGATCTTTATA